ATTTAAGACATTTAAGGCTAATTAAGGCCTTGTTTTTGGTTTGATTAATTCAATTACCTTTAAGACATTTTAATGCTCCGCAACAACCCTGTTTAAGACCACTAGTTTTTATCCATATCTAACTACAGCAGAAACCTTCTTAGCTGTCAGTTTTAAACAACTTAATTTCTGCACATCCTCTAACAACCCTAAATCTGGAGTTTTAGGACCCACAGTGGGGTCTTAACCCCTGTAGATGAAACCTTAAAGTGACATTAATGTTTTGTAAGAAAAGTGAATGAATTTTTGGAAAGACATTATTAAAATATTACAAAACAAGTTTCACGTTGCTCAGACGGACAGTTGTTGAGATATTTCCATGTGAAATAACAGGAAGTGATGTCAGAGGATACGGTCTGCATGTGAATATTTAAAAAAATAATTTTTACCAATTATTTTAGTATTTGAGATGAATTACAGCCATCCTATGTACGATGTGTTGATATTTTTAAGACTTCTGAAAGATTGATTTAAGACATTTTAAGGCTAATTAAGGCCTTATTTTTGGTTTGATTAATTCAAGGCTTTTTAAGACTTTTTAAGGATGTGCAGGAGCCTGTCAGTCAGAGGAGCACAGAACAACGTCAGCCTGTGAGGGAGGAAGGTTTCAGCTCCTGCCTCTTTGAAAGCAGCCAAACACTCGCTGTTGCACAGAGTTTTGCTGCCGTCGTCCATCTTCAGCAGCAGCGGTTTGCTGTGGCAGAAGGAGCCGCAGCTGGCGCAGCCCGCCATGCTCAGGTTGTTGACGGTGCGGAAGCGGTTGAAGCAGGCGTCGCTGCACATCCTGTGGACGGCACCGCTCAGGACCACCTCGTGTTTGCTCTGCGGGGGGAGGAGGAAAGGGTCACGTGAATGAGGGGGACTCTGGAGGTCCTTCAGGTTCACCCTGAGGCTGGGGTTACTCACCGTGCTGACTCTGGAGCACATGCTGCACACCGACTGGGTCTGAGGGGCTTTGGTGGGACCGGCCGAGGCCTTGAAGCTGACCGCCTGTTTCTTGTAGTTGAAGGAGGTCAGGCAGCTCTGGCTGCAGAAATCCTTCAGGACTCCTTTAGCATCTGGAGCCGTGATGGTATCCTGAGCCCGCAGTATCAACCTGAGCAGAAACAGAGTCAGAGAGCAGGACCAGGACTCTGGACCACAGCAGATTCTGTGTGCAGACTTACTTCTGGCAGCTGCTGCAGACCTTACTGATGGTTTTCCCGGCCGGCAGCGAGGTGGTGAGGCAGGCAGTGGAGCAGAACAGAGCTGCAGAGCCTTTCCTCTGGTAGGCCGTCTGTCCTTTCAGCAGGTTCTTCTTGCAGAAGGAGCAGGACATGTGCAGCGTGGGCGAGTCCACGCCGGACTGAGACAGACTGTCAGAGGCTGGGGTCACAGAGTAGACCGAGCCGATCTGCAGGTCCTCCTGAAAACAACAGCAGGAGGAAGTGACCTTCATCACCTGTTCTTTATGGTTTAATGTATTTCTTCATGTATAATACGACCTCATGTATAATACTATCTCATGTATAATACGACCTCATGTATAACACGACCTCATGTACAATATGATCTCATGTATAATACAACCTCATGTATAATACGACCTCACGTATAATACTACGACCTCACGTATAATACTACGACCTCACGTATAATACTACGACCTCACGTATAATACTACGACCTCACGTATAATACTACGACCTCACGTATAATACAATCTCACGTATAATACTACGATCTCTCACGTATAATACGACGATCTCTCACGTATAATACGACGATCTCACGTATAATACGACGATCTCACGTATAATACGACCATCTCACGTATAATACGATCATCTCACGTATAATACGATCATCTCACGTATAATACGATCATCTCACGTATAATACGA